ACGAGGCTACACCGATATCACTGATCTTTACCCTTGTCTTAGAAGCTCATTCGGTGAACTCCGGTGATTTTTGAGGAAAACCTGTCGAGGCAGTCAGCTTACATGCTAACTGGTGGATGCCACATGCCTCTGTAAGTTGGATGGGTAATTCAAATGTGAAAAGATTAGTGATGTCGGTGTGGCATCGTAGCTGGTAGAGCATGAGCGTACGAAGCGTAGGCGGCGTCCCTGCGTGGGTTCGAATCCCACCGAGGCTACTGATCTTTCACAATCGAAATAACTTAATAGTTCCGGTGTTCGCGAATCCGTTCGGAAAATCGTCTGACCGTGCGGCCAATGTAGGTTGTTCCACAGGAAGAAGTAAATAAATGTACTCATTTACTTGTTCCTGTGGTACAATCGCTCAAGATTCTCTGGCTCAACCACCCCCACCCCACAAACACACTGTATCACGAGTAATCTCAATGATCGGATGAGTGGTGAATCCGATCTCCCGTTTCATGAAGAAATCGTTTCTAATAGCCTGTGATTTTATTTTATTTTCCCAAAAGAATTTTTATCTCCAGGTAATGATATACATTGAAATTTTTTATCATGAATATGAATCCTTGAAAACGAACCTGTTCGCCACTTTGTTGTTTTGTTTGAAATGTGGTCTGTGGGACTATTTGCACAATTAATTGCGTATTCCGTTGTTGTGTAATTTTATAGAACTGTATCGTCAAACAGTCTTGACTTGTTACTTTGGGTTCCGGTTGAATTACCCATTAATCCTGAAATTCTGACAAAATCCATTCATTCATTGTTCTAGAGTTTTGAAAGCAAAGCATTTTATCTACAAAGATAATGTGCATCAGCTAATCTAACTGTGCCGCTCCTCCCCTTTCTGACTCGCCCAACCCGATGATTGATCAGAATATTCGTAAGAAACAAGAAACGGAAATTGAACAATTGGACAAAACTGCTCGTCAGCTTCGCACGGAATTTTCGCAAAAAGTGAATCAATTGAAAGAAGATTTACTACAGATGGCGAACGACCTGGATCGTGTGGGACGAATACAGCTGAAACAAAGTCGAAATGATGCCAGACAAGTGAGTCCGTGCCATGGTCAACTTGCTTACAGCGGATGGTTTGAATTTCAATGAAAACTGGTCTTTAGTGGATTGGCGGACTACTCCGGACAAGTCGGTTTGAAAAATGCGTGTTACAATATATTACGAGCAGTTGTATCGTTTCGTTGATAAATTATTACATTGCAGTATTAAATGGCGTGAAGGTGAATTAATGTTTATACGGAATCGGATTAGTTTGGCACACTGAGTGCGTTTCAGGAACATTGATTTAGGTGTGATAGCACTCAAACGTTTTGTAAGCGTTAAATTATATATATATATATATAT